TTGTCAATGGTAAAGTGTGGAAAGTGCCAGTTTAAATCTGTCCTGTTTGTTTCCCCAAAGCCTCGCTTCCAGGTGATGGTGTCCCAGTTTTTCTTAGTTTCTCATTTCACATTCTTCTCTGGTCACTGCAGCTCGCTCTGCAGAGAGCCAGGGAATTGGCAAGACTGAAAGGATGAAAGACTCGGAGTGCAGGCAGCATCTTTCATATATTTTTTCTTCCAGAGTAAGTATGGACAATGCTAAGGAAGCAGGATTTGTGTAAATTAGCTACACCCTACTCCCTATGGGACATTTTATTTTAAAATCTATTCCACAGTCAATGCCATTAACACAACAGATGCCTTGTGAATCATTAGACCAACTGCCTGATTTTAGATTGCCTTCCATTTTGCAAACTTCCATTTTTCTTCTTTGAAGAAAAGAAATATATATACATTAAAAAAAATGGGATTTTTGTCCCAACTCCAGAGAGATGCACAAGGCATTCATTTCAGGTGTTGCTTTTAAGGTCAAATCCAGAAACCTTCATCAGTTGGATGCTTACATATCCACAGGCAAAGAAGAGTAAATGCACGGTTTCTTTTTGAGGGGAGCAAATGCAGACCATTTGTCAGCCAAAGAAGCACAGCTCACAAACTTGATCAACTCAGTTGCCATTCATTAGTGACAAGCATAAATATTACCACTGTACTTGGGGACAGCTTTGAAAATACATCTAATAATTTCTCTGGAAATCCCAAACCCAGGCCATCTCTAGGCCAAATTCTTGACATGGATTTTGTTCTAGTATTCTCATTATCTTCTTTCCTGACACTTCCAGGGTCCAGTTCCTATGTTACATGAGTGTGCACGGGGACACACACACACACACACACTTACTCATGCACACTTTTTAAGTGATTTATACTAGCTTCTGGTACTTTTAATGTTGAAAATGTTGGAGTCATAACTTAGGTGTATTTCCTTTAGCTGTCACCACCCCCACCCCTCTCACACAAAGTGTGGAACTCTATGTGCATCTTATGGCTTCAATCAAGATCCTAATTTCCCTGAGTCAGAGGGAGAAAGTCTTGGACCTTGGGGAGGGCCCCCTGCTGGGTCTATGTGACCCACTACTTCATTTGCATTGGGGACCATCCATATGAGTGTGGGCAAATGGGGGACAAAGAATTCAGGTGTCCCTTGGCCTGGAATTCTGATTTACCTATTTAGATTTGGAAAAAGGTTGGGCAGAACATTTACAAACGTGTGCTGAGTTTGCCTTCATTTGCTTTGTCTGGGTCCCACCTGGCCAAACCGATGGACCAGTGACACCACTTTGGGAAGCCAGGCTGACAGGAGCTCTGGAAATGGAGAACATCATGTAAGGGCTATTTTTCTCCTCCTGCCGGTAGGCTTGCCCTTGACATTCAGGGTTTATGTTACTACTCAAGGAAGCAAATGCTAATCACTTCTCTCTCCCCAGGAAGTTGCATCAAGATCATTTCCTCTAACTCTCCCCTGGGAAAGTAGATCATGCACAGCATTAAGCATGTTATCCAGGGGATTTTTATGAAAGAGAAACAGACCCTTTAATATAACTTAAAGGAATAAGACCCTTTTTAGAATCACAGATATTCTTTATTACAATTCCATGACAATGTAGGAAGCTTAAAAACCTTCTGAATCCTCAACAGCTCTGTTGCTGATAGTGACAATTTCATAGTGTATATTGTTGTGCTGTTCCATTTCTTTGCATATTGGGAAACAATTCATCTGGAGAGGCAATTGGTGTCCAGTGAGGGCCACTGGATGTAGAACATGGGGACATGAATGCTAATCCCCAAGCCTGTGGGGGTTGCAACTTTATCACTTGTAAAACTGGTAGGTGAGATCACCTCTCCCCCTTTCAGTCCTGACATCTTAGGAGCTTGCCCATCTCTGGTAATCTGAACATTTAATTAAGCAGAATTTTCCATTCCCGTACTGTGCCAGATAGAGAATTTACTGTATGAATTCAAAGTCTCAAGCCGATAAGGAAAACCTACCCACATCCCAGACTGCCTTATGCTTGTTGATGTCAGAGTAAGAGTTATTGTGGGTAATCAGAGAAGGACATAAAAAAGAACAACATGTACCTGGCAGAATTTGTATATCAGTGCGTTATAATTTGCCAAAGCGTTCTTCAAAGTTAAAGCTTCCATTACATAACTTTTTATCACTTTCTTCTTAAAAATGTTCCATTTGGGTTGGTGTGGTTTATGATTTGCCTCACTTCAGAGATAAACACATGGTGGATGATTAGACTAAAATTCCCAGGTATTTCTGAATTTAAAAGGTTAGGTTAGGAGAGTGATACCAAAGAAGGTTGAGCAAAGAAGCTGTTATTTAAACTATTTAGAAGGTAAGATGCTATGTGCTTCGGATAAGGAGATGACAGTTAATTTCAAGTCCCTTACCATCATCTCCCTGTACATGAACACACACAAAGGTTTGGAAAATTAAGGAGCATGCTGGGATCAAACGCAGAGCATGGATATGGGGCTTTTTCCTGCACAGCCAGCTGTGAACCTAAGAAAGCTCTGTCTACTCACAGGCACTGTGTGCTCTTGGTCCAGTGGGATGGAACATCCCTACAGGCTGAGAGGAACAGTATTTCCTATTAGTCCTGGTCATGAAGGGGCCCTATCACCTGTTATTTGTTTTAAAAAAATTAATTTTCCTCCTCTAAAAGCTTATATACTCCAATTCATGACAACCTAAAAAATTTTTTTTAAGTGCTCACATTTATAACACTGACTGAAAAATCTACATATAGGATTCAGGCAGGGAAATGGTTATTAGCCTAAGGTGTACCTTTTAACCCTATCTATGCAGGGAATTACAAACTAAAATGTGTGGAGTTCATTTTGCCACAGCTGAACAGGAATATGACTACATCCCACTCCTCAGAGATTTTTCCTTTACAAATACTTTCACTTGACTAATGCAATTGGCCATTAGGAAAATAAGCTCTTATTAGTAAAAATATAAAGATTATTTAGGAAGGTGCAACCTATTTTCTGGACTGGATTATGTGATTTGTGACAGCTTTTCTAAAATGAATGTGGCTCACACACTCAAACAGCACAATTAATATATGTAATTTTTAAAAGGGCTGTCTTAGGAAAGACTTGATTTCCCTGTTCTTTAGAAAAAGAAGGGGCTTTCCAGTTAAGCACTTTTCTGTGGTGGTACTTACAGGGATATAGCATAACAGTGTCCTCCAGGGGGCGTTAAATCTTCAGCAAAGTTTCAATTTTGAAGAAAGTTCGAATCCAGTTAGCTAAAGCAGCCTGACTTCTCACCAGGATGCAGCAGTATCTTGAGGACCCGCATCCTGAATTTCACATCACAGGCTTCTAACTAGACCTTATTCTTTTTAGTAAAGCCCATGGCCCTGGGGTGTGTGTCAAAGCAGCCTGGCTGGCCCTAAGGGTCAACATTATAACTCTTTAAGAGACTATTGCGGTGCATAGAAAATGTGCTTTCCAAAGGCAGAAATGTGATTCCTGGAGCCCCGAAGAGAACTGAATGTGAGCTGGAGAAGGCTATGTGGATCAAATGGCAAAGGATTCCTCCTTCCTACTTTAGTCCCACAAAGGGCTATTTTTGCTGTTTATTTTTAGTGCAACCATCACTTAGGAGTCTGCAAACCTTAAGGTCTGGGGAACAAGCAACTTGATGTAGTGAAGTCTATGACTGCAAAGTAATTCAGGACACTGGTTAAGAGGTCCAAAGATTCTGAAATAAACTGGGTTTCAGTATCTACTATACTTCTTATAAGCCCTAGGCTCCTGAATTTAATTACTTAACTCCTCTCTGATTTCTCATGCACAGAAGGCTATCTCATAGGGTAACTGCAAAAATTAATTTAGATGCCCCAAAGAAAGTACTTGGTGCATAGTAAGTGTTCCATAAATGCTATTAGTCTTATTCCAGAGTGTGGAATCAAGATCCCCATGACAAAACCTCAGTCATGTCTCCCCCTTCTCCCCTGCTTAGAGTCCTCCAGAGAAGAAAAAATACTTCTCAGTACTTTTTTTCCTTTGTTCCTTCTGCTTTCTCTACATCACCTTCTGATGAGATCCCACCCATGTTTCAAGGATTATCTGTTGCGGCATCTTAAAGGCAAAAAGAACACTATTACCTCCTCCAAGGACTGAATGAGCTTTCTCCTACCTCTGAATAACATCAGGGACACAATATCTTGATAACCAGATGTATATGTTTGTCAAAACCTACAGGAGTGTTCACTTAACATGATGCAGTTTTCAACATGTAAATTGTTTCTCTATAATCCAACCCAGGAGAAACATAATGAGAAGAACTCAGTGTTTGGAGAGATGAAGACTTGGTCCAAATTCAAATTCTGACACTGTCCACTTGGCAGGTCATTGAGACTTCTTCACCCATAGTTTCTTCCTATGTAAGTGGGGCAATTGTCACTCCCTCCTCTTTAAGGGGTTTAGAGACACAATAATATATGAAAATGCCTTGCACAGTGCTTGCACACAGCTGATGCTACTTGACTGTTAGGACCTTCCTTTTCAGCATAACTATTTCTGTGATTGTATTACAACACCCCCATCCACCAGAAGATAATCTTGAGGATAGAATATGGTCTTTCTTTTTCTTTTCTAAGTGTCTTGCTTAGAGTACAAGTGGTATCCTTGGCTACAGAGAGATCTTTACAGCTAAACACATCAACTTTTAGACAGCAAACACCTAGAGGCATCCCAACTTAAGCCTCTGAAAGATGTTATGCTCGGTGTGGCCACCTGGGTTTGCAAAGGCTCAGTATATTGAAGTCTGGCAGATGCTTCACTTGGCCAATAATTCAGCTATGGCTCCCCAGTGTACAGTATGGCTTCATAACACATCTTTCAGTGTATGGTAGTTCTTTATGATAGTTGTCTCTTTCCCTTTAAAGCAATGGAATGACTGTACTCTTTTATTGACCAATAAGTCACTCTCTTTTCCATGGTTCAAAGTTAAGCTTTTATTTGGTTTTAAATTAAAAAAATAAATTTCATTATTAAATAGTAAGATGGATCTAAACTAATGTTCAGATAGTAGCTTATTCAGGAATATACCATGGGGGGTACAGTTAAGGGGTGGGTCACCTAAACTAAAATTATTTGTTATGTTGTCATGGTTGTTAAAAGTTCAACAGTGGCATAATTCAAAAGAAACTTGAGATACAAAGTTTTAAATGTTAACAATGGAAGGGGGAAGTAAACCACTTATTCTACTTCAAATGCAACACATTTCTTTCTCAATGCCAGTCAGTTCGGATGCTATACCACAGTGCTGATGTCATCGGGCTCATCTGCTTTCTTTTGCCTGCTTGGCAGGGATTTCAAGTATTCGAGATGTCTCCGGGCATCCTCCTGATTTTGCCTCACGTAATACACCACATAGGAGATCACCATGGTGAACCAGCCAAACATGGTGACAAGCATGGCATAATCGGTGGTTTTTTTGGGGAGGTTACAAAGGTCAGCATCATTGGCAGCATTGAGGAAGGGTCTCCCAGCGTGTTCGTCCAACACAGAAGTCTTACAGATCACGTTGTGTGCTGTCTCATGGTTGGACGCCATGCTCCTCAGAACTTGCTGTAGAGTACAGTCGCAGTGCCAGGGGTTGTTGGCAATTCTGGCCCTGGCCTTCAGGTTATTGAAGGCATTTTTGTGCACACTTTGAATCCGGTTGTCGGACAAGTCCAGAGTCTGCAAGGTTTCCGCTACTCCTTTGAAGGCATGCTCATCGATAAACTCAATGCCATTTTTGGACAAGTTGAGAACTCTTAGTTGATGAAGGTCCTTAAAAATCTCATTGGGGATAGAAGTGATCTGATTGGAGTCCAGATACAATAAAACTGTTTCGGGAGGAAGATCTCTAGGTATTTCCTTGAGATTTGCATTGCTACAGGTGACATTTAAACCCCCAGAGGAAGAACAAAGACAGCCCTTGGGACACATACTGGCAGAATGAAAGCACAGTATCATAAGAACAAAACTTTGTAGGAGGAGACACATGGAGAGGGAACGGGTCAACCACAGGTCTACCAGATTCATGCTGGAATGTCAGCATAATCACAATCCCATTCCTCATTTGCTCTGACTGGCAAGCATGGCAACGGTTCCGACCTGTCCACACTGTTGATGTCCTTGTTGAGTGGTTCAAGAGGCTGCAACTAACACAAGGGTCTCTTCATTATTCCTGTCCTTGCTTGGGCACCTAAAGGAAAGGGAAGCAGATGCAGTTAGCTCTTTGCAAAGGGAGGTACATTGCAATTAAAAGTGTTCTCATGCATCTGGCATTCTTATATGGGCAGGAGGGTTGGTTATGCAGGTAATTTCCATCAACACCACTGGGAGTTATCTGCATAATGGGAGTGTCCTGCTCAAATCCCAGGTGCTGGCGTAGAGGACTGTCATTAAATGACAACATTTCCAAGTTATGCTGCCTTAAGTAAACAGTCCAAATACCTCTCATTTCTACTGGTCTCTCAACATCCTGAACCCCTTCTAAATTCTAGTGATAAAATTTAATTACACCTTCCCCCTTTCTAAAGTAACAGATGCATTAATACAATTTAGCCCTGTACTTGGGCAGCAATGAGAAAAAGAAAAAACACTGATATTTCATAGTTAATAACCATAGATAGCAATATCTGTCATGGATTTTGAGTGAATGCCCAATTGGGATATTTTCTCTAAAGAAACATCTTATTTGAAGTAAGAAATGAATGAATGCATTGCAACCTTCATAACAAAATGTTGCTAGGAACTAAGAGCCCAGGAGTGGTCTCCCTGTGACTTCTTGAGAGATTATATTACACCTGGGAGATGCTCTTAACTGAATTTCCAAAGGATTCTCTCCATTTTCTAAACAGCATATCCCCTCCATGGTAGCTTTTCAAATATGACACACATCTCCTAGCCTTTTTAAAAAATAAGAATTACAAAATACTAGCCTCTAAGACTCCCCCAAAACCCTATTTTTCCCCCAATCACATACAGGTATTATTAGCATTGGAAGGGGTCTCAGAAATTTCAGACATTAAGAGAGATAAGCAAGGTTTTGAGTTTACTCAAAAACAGAGATGAGAACTTAACCCTCAAAATTACTCTCTCACGTAAGGAGGACAGGCATCTTTGGGACCAGTTCATAGAGGATGCAAGTGGATCTTGGAGAGATGATGTGACCTGGCCAAGGTCAAAGAGCTTGTAGGTGGTGAAACTAGATGCAAGCTAGACTTTGTTCTGACTCATTAATCTTGAAACTCTTCCCACCACCCCCTCAGCTCTCTCCCAACTCCATCTGCTCTATGAGGACAGTCAGGATCCAGGGAGCATTGCTGGTTGTGATTTCTGATGCTGTTATGTTGTCACTCAATCCAAACTGAGAACCCCGTAGAGCTCTATCGCAGGGCTTTCTACACTGTGGAGGGAAACCATGCCTGACTTCAAAGGAGTCTCAGGATCTGAGAAACAAGGAGAATATTCAGTCCTCTTACAGTTGCTCACAGCAAATGGCTTTCTGCATGAGCAACAAATGACTCGTGGCAAACTTATCTTTTCTAAAGATCCCAGATGGATAAATACAGAGGGAAATGACTCCAAATGTTACCAAACTCACAGAAGAGAAGATTAATGTGAGCTGAAAACATAATGAACTGGGTTGTTAATCATGGAAAAAATGAAATTAGCAACAGCAGAATGGAGTGGATGTGCTTTTGGAATCCTGAATCCCTTAAATGCCAGAGAATGCTAAAGAAGGACCCCTAGGCTTACTAAGCCATCCATCAAGAGCTCATTGTATTTGCAGTGAAAGTTTCCCTTGCTTCCAAGTTTTCCTTCAAAACTGCATTGCAGGGCATTTGGGGACTAGTCATTGTATAGATGGGAGAGAGATGCAAATGAACAGGTGTGGAGGGGAAGGCACTAAGAGAGTAAAGAAGGAAGCAGAAGGACAGAGAAAGGATTCTAGGAGGACATGAGAAGGATACAGGAGATAGGAGCAATCAATGCGACTAAGAAAATAAAGGGATTCCATGTCATCAAGCAACTTCCACCAGCTGTGTATGTACTGCCTGCTGAAATCCTGCTAAAAAGCGTCAAGGACCTTTTCCTGGAGGACACTCCACAGCTCTTCAGAGTCAGATTTGAGGAAAAGAGTTCTTTAATTAAATTATAAGCTGCATGAGGGCAGGAACTTGTGGAAACAGAGGTAACAACTAAAATTGGAACAATTAAAATAGCAAAGCACATTCATTTGCATCCAGATTTAATCTTTATTAGGGGGTGCTCCTGGGCAAGTTACTTAACCTCTCTAAACCTCAGTTTCCTTATCTTTGTACAGAGGTTATAAAAACACCTAATTACAGGTTGATTTGAGAATTGATGTGAGATAATTCACATAAAGCATTTAGCATGATGCCTGAAAGGTTAAGAGCCCCATACCTGTTAGCTACAGTTACTATTATTATCCCAGATACATTCTCAACTCCTAGCATAGTGCTTGACATGTAGTAAGGGCCGAATACATTCTTTTGTATGAATGAACCAATGAAATATTGAAGAATCTAGCTGTTCTTTTTCTTCCCTATGGTAATTATTTTTAACACAAATATTGGCTCATCAAATGTCTATTGGTTTTACATGTTAACACAGTGGTCTTCAGAAAAATCATGAGTGCAGGCTCCTATTTGACGGAAGCAAAAATGGAATTTTTCTCAGTAGGCTTCATAGTTTTCTTCATGGTTTCTCCAGAATGATCAGTCCGATGGGCATGGTCACACACAAGAAATAGGACACATCTTGAGTTCTCAACACCAGACTGCAATCTCTCTTGGGACAGAATCCTTCATGCCCCAGTGGTCCACCTGTACCCCGATGGGATGCCTATGAGGAGTACAAATGCAGAGTATCCCTTGAATTCAAAGAGGTTAGACTCAAACCAAGCATTTCACTTTCTCTCTCTGATTTGATGAAAGGGGAATAGAAGCTTCCAGGATCGTCTAGATTGTTGGGATGCTATGAGTTGGCCTGGAGAGTCTCCCGCCTTCAGACAGGACAAAGTGACCAGAGATGCAGCATGTAGAGAGCTGAGCCTTTGGATGTCCAGGAGGCAGGCAGCAAGGCCAAAGACACTGAGTCAAGCTCATCTCCAGCGAGGAGGATGGAAGAGCTGCTTCTCTATTACGCTGAACTAGTTTCCAAAAGGATTAGCAGCTTGATATTCACCTAAATTACTAGATAGGTCAATGGTGGTTTGTGGAAAAGGAACACAAGGGGAGATGTGCCCCAGAGTAAATAAGTAGGCATTTTTCTGACATGGGTTATCACCCAGCAGGATAAAAAGCTAAAAAGGTAAAAAGCTAAAAAGGTGGCTGGAAACCCCAAACTCCCTCCTGCTCTGTTACCAGTCAGATGTACCCACAGTCCCAAAGTAGCAAGCTAGCTATCCTGCCAGGAAGAAGGGAGTGCCACCTTATTAACTTCAGGATGAGGAGGCAGAGCACAAAAGGGCTGCGGTCACACCAAAGATGGTAACAACAGCAGCAGTGGTTGCTGCCCATCCTCCAGATTAACAGCAAGATCCACTTTTACTGGGACAGAGCAAATCAAACACTATCTTTCTCTCTCCTAACTTCCCCTTTGCAATTCTCAACTCATTAGACTCTCCTACCCTCTGCACTTAGGCCTTTCAAATGTGGCTGGTGCAATCAGGAAGCTACAGAATTTCTGCATGTGGTGCTCGGGTATGAGCTATGACCCCAAAGAAGGCCCTGGAATCGCTAGACCCATGCTTTGTTCTTTTTTTTTTCCTTCACACAGGTTTCTGACCTATAGCCATTAATGCCAGGATGCGGTGGCAACCATCAAATAGTGACTCCAGATGAAAAAGAAAAAAAGGCACTTAGCAGGCTGCCTGAGGAGATGGTTCTTTCAACAGCTGATTAACGACTCTATCTGCTTCCTTCTTCTTTTACTCCTCGTTCCGGGGACACGCAGGGATACTCGAGGCTTCTAACCCAAATGCTTTCATTAACTCTTCTGAGATAACTAAGTGCACCATTTTGGAAAGAAATACCAGACACGCACAAATTTCTTCCAATTGCACCTATGCAATTCTGCTACCAAACAGAAGGATTTGATCAAAAAGCACAAAATAGTAAAACAGTTCAGGACATAAAATTCAAATCAGTGGGGAAAAAAACCCATACATTTAAGTAGTTAATATGAGAACTTCTGCATGGCAAAAAGTAAGACCACAAAGAGAAAAGACAGATGATAAAATACTGATTGCTTCAGTATACAAGTTCATACAAGGAAAAAAGAAACTAACTAGAAAAAGGGACAGAAAAACAACATACATAAATGACCAATAAATCATATGAAAAGATTCTTGATCTCACTGACAGTGAAATAAATTTGTGTTAAAGTACCTATCACCTTGGTTAAAATTAGGAAGACTATGTAATGATAATGAAATGGTTTAAAACAAAACAAGTTATCCCTCAAACGTTTGGTGAAAGGCATTCTTTTTGTATGAGCAATGTTGGAATAGCTACTAAAAATTTAAAATTTAACAATAATTTAGATTGACTTGTATTGATGTAAAGATCTCTAAAAACGACCTATTTCAGGTTCACAGATCCTGCCAACTATGCCAGATTAACTCCTGTGGGGGGAAAAAAATGTGTTCCCAGCCTGGGGCAAATAAACCTTTGCAGCCAAAAGCATTCAAAGGGAAAAAATAAAGTGGGAGAAGCTGTTTACTGCTTACAAGAAGTCATCTATTCCAGCTCGTCCAAGTCTCTCCCCATCCTGGCCCGGAAGAAGCCAAAAAATCCTCTCTGGTTCCCACACTCACTTGCCCCTCCACCTCCCTTGCAATCACCTATTGATAATGGAGATGCACAACTTCTCTCCAACCCTTGGAAACACGTATTGATACGGAGACGCACTAAGGCCAGGTGAGAGATTCTGGAAATATTGCAATTTTACCCACATGACCTCCAAAAAGTAGCTTGAAATAAAGGGTTCTTATAGTATAATCCTGTATTTGTAAAAGTTTTTTAAAAGGAGGTAAATATGCAACCATAAGACCATATCTGAAAGGAGGTATAAGCAACTAGTAATAGTGCTTAGCTCTGAGAAGTGGGACTTGGGCTGGAGGGAGAGAAGAGAAATTCTCTTTCTATTTTACACCCTTCATATGGTTT